GCACCAAATATCTGTTTCAAATCAAGTTCATATTGTGGTTACATGATGCTAACACAGGTCGAAAAAAAGTAAATCAGGAAAATATCATATTAATATCAGGATCCGATTTTTGTTGATTTTTGGCGCCTATCGTGACAACAACAGAGAAATATCAGGTGCTGATAGAGCTATCAGTAAGCTATCAGAACTGACATGTGTCTGATAGCTTACTGATAGCTCTATCAGCACCTGGATTTCTCTGTTGTTGTCACGATGGCGCCAAAAATCAACAAAAATCGGATCCTGATATTAATGATATTTTTCTGATTTACTTTTTTTTCGACCTGTGCAATTGGTGTCCAATTTGTCTTCATTCAACCTGAAGTATGAATATTCCATCAGAATTTTCTTTTTCTGCCAATTTTTGGCAGTTAGTAAAACCTTAATACGTCAAAATTATTAGAAAATTTAATAATTTCATCTGATGACTGTTTTTAGTTGACATTTAGATGCGAAAAAAAAACGAATAAAAAGTTTTTTTTTTATTGAAACTTATTTATATAGTTAATAAATATATCCTAAATAATTTTGTCAGGTCAACTAGTTTGTAAATTAATATATATGTCATATGTTGGAACAAAATAATTGTAGATTTAGAATCCACTTAGGTTGGAACGGAATTCCAAACGTTGTCCAAGTTGATACGAAATTTAAAAGCAACTTAAGTCGATTCTACATTTGGGATCGTCTAAAGCTGGTGGCCACGTGACCGTGCGCCACAGCGGCAATGAGCCTGATATTAACACTAAATGGCTTATATGTATGACATGACTGCCTGGCTTTAGACTAGTGTTCCGCAAAATGGATCTGAGATTCGGATTCGATCCGCAAATCCATTTCGAATCCCATAATTTGCAGATCCTGCAGATCCGAATCCAAAAAGAGATTCGATCGAATAATATTCGATTCATTACCAATATACACAAACGCTAAAACTCTGATTTCTTGTGATCTTTTTTTTTGAATTTTATTGATCTTTTTTTTTTTTTTTGA